GGGCTATATTTGGGGTGGCGTGTTTTACAGCGCTTTGCCAACAGCGCCAACCCACTGAAGTCTAGATTGCGAGGGGGGGGGCGGGGGGGGGGGGGTTAACCGTACTCTACTTCCCATATGAAGTATTGGGGACCCGCGGTGTGTCACCCATTTTGCTTTGGGGGTACCCTGTGCGCGAGCTTGGATCCTCACTCGCGGACCCCGGACCCATGATCACACAGAACGGGTACATGCCACATCAAGAGCGCACCTGTACCGTAATAGTCTGAGAGATGGCACCGGGGGCGATCGTTTTCTTGCATGCTTTTCCTCGGGTTTTTTCTCGCACCCCGGTTCGAACTCTCCGACCCCGGTGCGAAAATGCAAAGCACAGGTCAACATGCACGAGCCGTTAAATACGCACCACCGAGAGCACTCAACGGCCTTCGCGTCAAACATGACGTTGAAAGCGGGGCACTGTTCACGGGGGAAAGAAACCTGAGCATGGACATCGTCATCAGGCCAGGAGCCCTCACGAACGCATCTTCTCCGGGGTACCGCAACAAAGGAATACTCCTCGATGTCACACACGCAGACTCGCAAGCACAGGTACACTTGCGGAACGGCAGCGCGAACAGCGATGGAACCGCAGCCCAAGCATCCGAGGCGCGGAAGCGTCATCACTACGCTCGTCCGGGACACGTACGTGTCCTTTGACGAACGCAGCTATAAACTTACCACCTTAGCCGTGGAAAGCTCTGGCCGCCTTGGGGAGGAGGGTTACGAGTTCATCGATGAACTCGTAACCCTCCTCCCCAAGGCGGCCAGAGCTTTCCACGGCTAAGGTGGTAAGTTTATAGCTGCGTTCGTCAAAGGACACGTACGTGTCCTTTGACGAACGCAGCTATAAACTTACCACCTTAGCCGTGGAAAGCTCTGGCCGCCTTGGGGAGGAGGGTTACGAGTTCATCGATGAACTTGCGACACATGCCGTGGGAGGAAGGGACGGAGGAACGATGGTCTGAAAGGAGTCGTCAAGGAACGACTTTTTCAGATCGTTTCGGTGGCTACACAGGTGGCCATATCTCGGCGAGTGCAGAGGTACAAGCTCGCATTGCGCGGGCGTCAAGACGCCGAAAACAGGTGAACAAGATCGACCTCGAACCAGTCAACGCCAATGATATGGGGATGGAGTGTAGACGCATCGTAGAACGCGTTTTCGTTTGAAGTTGGCGTCTTGTTTGAGAGTACATGTGACAGATTGCGTAGAATAGGGTAAGATGTTATCATGAACGGAGAAGGAAGGGCTTTTTTATCACGGAGATGTAGCATGGATCAAAGCATTTGTTGGATTTCAGCTTTTACAAGAGGACATCAACGCAGTAGTATTTTAGCAAGCTTACGAACGCATGTATGTAGGATACCATGAGGATTGACATTGGTTTTGTTTCAAATTGAAGAGGAGATATTTTTACGATGTAAGTGACAGTAGAAATAAGTCCTACATATGTTGTTGTACTTCGTATTGGTTTAATATTCATGTAGAGTATCAGACATTAAGTGAAAGTTTTCTGAGGTACATCTGCAATTGTCGGAAGGCAAAAAAAACAAAAAAACATTTCTTTTAGTTTTTTCAAGGTACCCCGGTGCCGTCTCCCCGACCGGTACGATAGTATTGTACCAGTATAGGCATACCCACACACACGTTTTTTTTCACACGCTAGTTGATAATGCTATTGATCAGTATAGAATCACACCATACGTGTAGGTACCGTTGTTGCTGGTTGAAATCACACCGGTAACGGCAACGTAGGCTGGTACGTAACAGCTTTCCATGAACAGCGAGTGGTCTTGTGTTTGAAGGCGAGTTTAGCTATGGTGTGACAAGGACTACAAGCAATGTGAGGCACCGGTACGTACGGTATCAGGGTTAGGGTTAGACGTTTCGGCCTTCCCACGGATACCAGAACGTATATACGCAGCAGTACATTAGTTTCGTGTTGTGAAAGGCGGGGTGGGGTGCGGCTTGTACGTTGTGTGTTTGGTTGAGTGTACGGTTGGCAACTGGCATCCCGCGTGATTTGCGACCATGTATACGTACATACAGGACAGAAGTGGCGCTCAGCTGACACCGTTCCCACGTGCAAAAGGTACGCACATGTACCTCATTCCGGAAGAGGAAGCTGACAGGAGTTCAACTTCGGATTCGGAAATCGAAATAAATGATACCGTTCTTGTATTTTTTTGCGCACCTCGGTGCCATCTCCCCGACCGGTGCCATCTCTCCGACTATTACGGTAACCCACTCAAGGTATTATGCGCAAAACGTCGTCTCTAGTAGAACACGATGAGTTTTACACACATGCGTGCAGCTTGCGTGAGGTATGCTCTAAGCACCATGAGAAGCAAAGAGCATTGAGTTTTTGTCGGCCCGCCCGGGGGGGGGGGTACCTACATAGGTGTGCGGGATGACTTTTTTCGGGCACTCTCGGTTTGAATGGCAAAAAAAAATAACTACAGCTATGCATAATGCACAAGATTTTGGCCGAGAAGTTGTCGGAGACATCTGCCTTGCTTGTTGCACATTCCGAGTACTCGCATAAGATTCTGACCGACCGAGTAGTTGTTTGGAAACAACTACGAGAGTACTGGTCCCGATATAGTGGCACGTAGTGGCAAGAGAAAATCATGCCACTATTCAGGGCAATGCCACTATTCGAAATAGTGGCAATAAAGTCACTATGGCGTAATCAATAGTGCCATTAATGCCACTATGTCGGAGAACATGCTTTGATGCATACGCTACGGACAGTTGGTCCTTGAATCTCCACTCGTACGCGTTGTGTACGTATCCCAGGGTCCCTCTTTCATTGTTGTATGCACCAGAATCCGCGTGAAAACGCAGGTGTCTGCCCATCACGTGTGTGTGCATTGACACTTGATCGTCCTTGTGACAACTAGGCCTTCGGCGATCGCAACCTTGCTTTGTTTGCAGGCCATCATGGGGTTCAACACAACCACAACACAAATAAATGTTGAAATCATCAATGTACGTGAAATAAATGGAGCAACCAAGTTGAAAACGCCGAACACTCCCCACACCGGCGCATAAATACTAACCGTCACGATGCTTTGCACCTGAAGACCTCAACCGACCAATGCCACTATACTATGACTGGGCAAACGTTCTGATGTCTAACTACCGTGCCGGTCCAGCGGCATGTGCTGCAAAGAATGCCATCTTTGCCTTACGGAGGAAATAAATACCCGGCCTCGCCAATGCCACAAGACTCCGCGAACTCTTCTAGAGGACCAACAGCCCGGACAGTTCCGCGAACGACGGCGGCGCCTTCATCCCTCCACCCGCGTCACTCTCAAAATCTTCGGTGTTGTCTAGCTCTAGCCTGTCGTCGGAAACGATGTCTTCTTAGACATACGTGTTGTCAATCCTCTCGATAAATTCTCCCTCGTGTGTTCAGACAGAGCTTGCGGTGAAATACAGGGGGATTTCGACGTTTTGAATTGCCACTATTTGGGGGATAAGTTGCCCAATTTGCCACTTTTGAGGACCCCGTCCTCAAATGTGGTACAACGCCACTATTTCGGGTTGAGGTTGTGACAAGAGATTTTGATGCCACTATTGAGGGTATTTCACTGTTCAGGGTGCCACTAAATCGGGACCACTACTGCACTCACCGTAGTTTGCGCAAGATTCTGACCGAGTACCTTGGGTGCAGTTGTTTGGAAACATGAAGGAAACATGAAACATGCACAACGTTCATGATCAATACTTTCCTTCTTAGACTAAATATGGCGATTGTTAATTGCGTGCTCCGTTTCTGAAGGTTCTTGTAGCTGGATTTGTTTGCCCTGGTTTTCTGATGATGCGATGGTTGGGGCTGCATGGTACAGCAATGAAATTTGACTAAAGTTTACCCGCGTGCAAGATGCAAGAATATCTGCTACTACAACTGCTGTCAAGTCGTGCATGGGGGTGGGACGAAAGGACGCTCCAGCCCGAGCGCAGCGACGCACAGCCCGCCAAACGGTCTGGCTTTGCAACCTCTTTGTGCCTTTATTGCAAGCATCCCCACGCTAACGAGTGTGTCTGTGTGTGCCTGTCTTCTGACTCAACCTGACTTTCTCTCTCGCTCTCTCTCTCTGTGTGTTTGTTGGCCTTTGAAACACCAGGGCCTTGTCATATTTAAAAACAGGTTAGATACCAAATCTACGTCAGCAGTAGTAGCAAGTGTCCTAGAGGTGAGCAGAGGAAAGAAGTGGTATGGTTTGTCTTCATCCGTCAGGATTGTTGTGTTCATCCATCAGGAAGTACCCATAGATACAGCCGCCTGGCACCGAGATCTACCGTGGACTACTGTACTACTACAACTACTGTGGTCAGTCGTTTTCATTAGGTCCAGGAACCTAGCCGGTTGAGATGCCACATGTTTTCAAAGCCAACTCTCTGTCCTGGCAATCGATCGTCGGGGCGTGAGACGACGCACTGACTCGCCCGACCCCAGCGGCATGGGTCGAGCGAGGTTGCTCACCAAATCCATCTTTGATGTGATGCAGCAGCGGCACATGCCAGCATTCCACCCCGAACCGCCAGCCGCACCTGAGGAGGATTCTCGAAGCGCCACTTCTTGAACTCGTTGGGCCTGGTCACCTCCTCCGCGTATGCCACACCCGACAGCAGAACCAAGCCTCCCACGACCAGATGCGACCTCCTCATCTTTTTGCTTGTGCCTGCTCACTCAGAGACAGCACACCGGTGACGGTACACCCATGTATACACAAGCCTGCTGTCAGTTGCCCCGATCGTCCAAAGGAGCCCGGACTACATGTACACTCTTACTCAAGTTTGTTTACGCTACAATAGCGGCGAATGACTGTGGTGATGATGGCCGGTGTGTGGTGGGCCGGCTGTAAGTACTTCACGAAATAGTGTGGTTCTGGCGGAAAGTTGTATGCAATGGGCAAACTGTGGAGATCAGAATATGGGGGTTAGGTATGCAACAGTGTTGGATCTGGGGGATGTGTGATAATCGATTTGGTTCTTCCAAGCGTTCGTTCCTCCTCCAAACGGCGGCGGATGGTCTTTGGGAGGCTGGGAATATTCGAGTCCATTAAGGCTTCTCCGCACCATCCTACCATAGCTTGACTGAGTTCGCTCGGTCACGCTTGGCATTCTTCGTCACAGCGCGCCAAAGGAAATACGGTAGTCAGCCTCCGGTGGTAGGTCCATACGTCACCATCCCCCGGAATCTCCGCTCACCGAGAGTGGTGGGGGAAGTGCATTATCGCGCGACGGATGATCCTCAGCTGATGCTTCAAGGCTAGGAACACATGAAACATTGCCGCGACCTGCGGTCAACAATGCTAACCAATGCTTCGCATAGTTTGGGCATGTCTTCTCCTCCAGTCTTCCTTCTGACCTAGTGAAGCCATGTGTCGGTGGGATTTGTTGTGTGTAGTCTATACCACTCTGTCGTGTGTGGTATGTCGGATTGTCTATCCAAGTTCGAGTTTGGTTTTCGGCGGCAAAACCTGTGCTGTTTCACGCATGCATGTTAGTCTATTACCGTGTAGTCTACCCTGTGTTCTCTTGTCGTCAACATATATTTAGTTGCTCATAGGGGAGACATCACTATTGTTGGTTGGTCAACGAGGAAAGGCATTAAATACCACCAGAGAGCCAAAGGCATTTATCGCTACATAGTTTATCCTGGACTCTAAGGAGAGGGAAAATTGAGTGCAACGGTTCGTGCTTTCGTGCGGTTCTCACGGGGCGGTTCAACAGCAAACGTGCGCAACAACCGAGCACAGCAGCAGCAGCTCTCCGAGCTTGCGTCGGGACTCCTAGTTGGAATGGATGGGAGCAGTATTGACCTTAGAATGGACGGGATACCGCATCTTGGTCAAACATGTCGCAGCTACAAGGTATGCATTAGCGTCCCTCCTGTTACGTCTCTGTCTGGGATTCTTGCATGGCCGCTGGGCACGGTGAAGTACTTGCATGACTGCTGTGTACTTACATGTAGTCTACAATATAACATAGAACCCCGGCGGTCTGCAGAGGTGCACACAGAGGTCTGTCGGGTGTTTTAGGGGGGGTTCTGAGAGACCGGAACCAAATCGGTCGTTCGCAGTTCAGCCGTCCCCCCAAAACATAGTCTAAGCCCTGACCGCACAGGCACGCCGAAGGCGTGCCTCAGGCTTGCTGTTTGGGGTCAGGCAAACTCTAAGGCATTTGCCTGAGAGTGGCGATTCCTAGCCTGAGAAGCCTGATACTATTCCTGGGCTTTTGCCAGAAACGAAACCTACTTCATAGTTTCAAGTGGACTTTCTCAAGAATAGAGACGGGTGTATTTTAGCAAGCTTACGAACGCATATAGGATACCATCAGGATTGTCATTGGTAAGTTGAAGAGGAGATACTTTTACGATGTAAATGACAGTAGAAATAAGTCCTACATATGTTGTTGTACTTCGTATTGGTTTAATATTCATGTAGAGTATGAGACATTAAGTGAAAGTTTTCTGAGGTACATCTGCAATTGTCGGAAGGCAAAAATAAATAAATAAATAATAAATAATAATAGAGATGGGTCATACGGGGCCTAATCTTCGTGGCTCTTCTCCGTATGTTACCTGGAGCTTCCCGGGGTTATGTAGGAGCAGTCAGGTAACAAAACACCACCTCAGGCAAACATCTCAGAGCAATGGCCTCTCAGGCAACAAGATAGGCATGCCTGAGATGCGTCAGAGGTCATCCGTATATACCTCTTCCGCATCGACTTCAACGACATACCTGTGGAAAGCCATTTTCCGGTCGATCAACTCCGCGCAAGGCACAATACGCTAACTACGAGGGCCCCCTCGCCCTGGAGGTCTACAATACGGTGCCCCCCCCCTCCGTACCACATACCATGACACATATTGTGAGATACATAGGGAGAAGCACGCATCAGTAATATCATCGCCAACAACGTCGTCCACATTCTGATTGGAGACGGTGGCCCATTGGATCAAAAGGTCCGACTCGGCAGCGGTGACGACTTCGCAAAAATAATCCGAGGCCGTGGTGAGTATACCATCCATCCGCCTACAACTTGTCGGCATATTCACCACCACCGGCTCTGATCGCTGGTTCAGTGTCGAGCCTTCCCGGAACTTCTGCACACTTGGAGGTCGAAGAAACGAAACTCCGTCGTCGTCGTCGTCGTCGTCGTCGTCGTTGTCACCACAGCTTACCCACCAACAGAAAAGGGGGACATATCCAAGACGTGGCTTCGAGAAGATGTACTTACTGCCGCTCAGGAACAAAAATGCGGAGCCACAATTTCGTCTCGCGCACCTCACGAATGAATACGGTTCTTCGCCCCACTTCTTCGCTTTCCCAACGACTACCTTTTGTATCCGCGGCCCATTCTGGCTTTTTCTCCACATTGATCTGTTCGTTTCACTTCCGCCGTCACTTGAAGTACGAAGGGCAGTGAGGCTTGGCCGACTGCCACGCGGCGTCAAATCCGTCCACCAGGTCCTGGTGAAGGGATGTGACCGACAAAGTAGCAGCACGGCCGATCGCAGAAGTGCAGGTAAGAAAGGCGTAAGGGGAAAACAAAGGAAGAGGAGGGCACACCAAGCAATCCTGTCTAAACCCAAGGCCATCAGAAATAGTCAACGAAACACGGCGGGTAAAGTCCAAGTGAAATTGGGAGCACGACGGTCAGTCACAAGACGCCGAAGCGCGAAATGTTGATCGTGCAGACCAGCTGTTGTTGATTTCAGGTTTGTTTGCAGTTGTTTACTCTACACACATAGCTGGATGAACAAGAACAGCATCAGGGAAGGAAAGGCATTGCAAACTTGTCTTCTCGACGCCTCGCGCATTGTTTAAACGTACCTTGGGAAGGGGGTTTTCGTCTCGACAGGCGTCGACGTTTCCCTTGACCTGGGACACCGAAGACCCGCAGATGATCACCGTGTCTCCGCTCTCTCCTGCACGGGGGGTGTTTCGAAGGCACTCATACTCCCACGGATACTCGCCGTTGCGGGCTTCGCACTATCCGAAACACTGCAGGCAGGTTTAATTCCCGACCGAACACCCACGGTGGGCAACCTCATGGCTGGCACTGCTTGTCGTGAGGGCATGCAAGAAATCGGACTCAACGTGCCGTTGGTTTCTCTCTGCATTTGATGTTGTGCTGTACGGCCTCGGCTTTGACGTGCAGAATCCGTCGAAAAAACTCTGTGATGGGACGCGTGGCTGCCAGTCACAAAACAAAACGCCTGTCCCTCTCTAGTCTAACCGAACGACCCCCGTTGTAGCCGACTCCGAGCGCTTTCGGGTAGTAGAAGTGCACGTATCACTTCAGCAACCACATCACGCAGAAACTCAGAAGTGCACTTATCAATTCAACGATTACATCGCGCAGAAGCTTGGGTAGTACATTCATCGCAAGGATTTAGTTTAGGCGGGCGTGAGGAAGGAACTGAGACCTCCTTAAAAAGCAAACATTGCCACCGTTGTTCTGGACGCGAACAAGTTTCCAGGGCTGTTCAACTTCCGAGCGCGTAGCCCCCGGACCCTCAATCTCAGGTGGGTTGTCTCGTAGCCGTGCGAACTCGCAAAATAGGCGGCTGTCCGGGGGGAGGGGGTACAAGCTTTGGAGCGAGTCTACGAGCTGATAATCTCTGCGGAGCGCCACAACGATGTTGTGCTCGATCTTCCGGCAGCCCGCGTCCTCGCTTCAGACCCCGACCTCTGTGCCAAGGGCCTTACAGGGTCCCAGAAGTCTTCAACTTTGAGGGCGGGTGTTCTTCTACTTTGAAGCATTTGACGAACATCCTCACTTCGCGAGCTAGGTCACGTCGTGATACTGCCCCTGTGTGGCGGCACCAAGGTATCCCCCGTGGCACACGCACGTGTACACGGCTCGATGACCACTCAAGCTCCTGCGCTGTCATCAACCTCAACGGTTCATTGTGTACAATTCTGTCGTCTGCTTCGGCGCGTGCATATCACCGCCGCTGGATGCGTCTTGATGCAGACGCTGTTCTCAATGGTGTAATGCTGAGTATGATATGTCCACCGCCTACACAACACCTGTGCAACGCTCAGTACAGCATGCCCACTTTTCTGCCAAGGATAACGGTGTTCTACCCTTTTTATCCATATGCAAAAGGGAGTCGTTTGTCGAAAGCTGGACGCCGTACCGGTGAGGCTCGAGTGATGGCGCATCCACCGGAAGGACGCCGACACAAGGTCGGTGTCGTGCTTGACGCAGATCGACCTCAATTTTTCGATCTCGTCGAACAATTCCTTGCGCCAATACCGGGCCCTGCACAGTCGCGGAGCCCCCCCCCCCCGCAGCCCCAGAGAAACGAGTGAAGAACAGGCGACATCTTCAGGTTAGTTACACTCGCGGGAAAAAAATAACAAGAACGCGCGACTCTTGGATCTGCCACGAAAAAAACGCCACACAAGACAAAAGAAGAACCAACCGCCTGCACACTCGAGGAAAACCCGACAAAGGGTCCAGGGCGGCGCGTTCAGAAGCATAACGCCCATGCTAGCAGGAAGAAAACAAAACGCCACAACCAGTGGATGGCCCTCATTCGGAAGGTCAGAGAATACAGTCCTAATCGTGGGCCTTCCGCTAAGAGGCACACGATTTTTCGCCTGCTCCGTCGCTGGCATGTAACAAATACCTGTACAGTGATCCCCACAAGCTGGTGGTGCTGAACCTTCCGTCCTCCGGGGGCTTCTCGAACTTGTGCTTCCCCGAAAGCAGCCCGCCAGCCTGCATGGCAGCAGGCGGAGAGGGGCGTTCGAACCGAATGAAGCGTCAACGGCGACGCTAGTACTGAAGGGTGTGCCGAGGATGATGCCAAAAACTGATTTGAGTCGGGGGGGGGGCGTAGAGTTGAACCACAGCGTTGGGAGAGTTCCGACGCAAAATCTCTTCGGAAGTTTTCAGTTACGATAGGGAGAGACCGTACATGCGTTTCGCCGGCACTTCTGTTGTTGAAAGTGATGCTTCGCTAGTAACGACGGGGTTATTTGAATTCCCTTGGTCATACTGGCACGGAGGCCTGATGTCGGGGCGTGGTTTCGCTACAATGTTGTTGCCTTGTGGTTTCTGGCCGCTTCAGCATCCTGTTGCTTTTACCAGGGGGTTGTAGGCGTAGAACCGCATCCCGAGCTTCTTGAGGGCGGGCAGCAGCTCCCGCTCTACCTCCCTCGTGACTGCGTNGGGGGGGGGGGGGGGGGGGGGGGGGGGGGGGGGGGGGGGGGGGGGGGGGGGGGAGGGCGACTAGGCAGTTGACCACGCGATGCTTCAAAGAACGAGCATTGTTTTCACCGCGAAAAGATGCAACGCCGGTGGTCGGTCGGTCGCTGTTCACGTGCCCCCTGTTGTTCCGTTCAAAATTATTTCCTGCCGTGGCGATTCTGTCCTACCGCCATCTCGTCGCTGAAAGTCACATCGCTTCTCTGCAAGGATGGCGAAGGGTTCCGCTTTTCGTGCGTCTAATTTCCAACGTTCAGATTAATCTCAACGGTTCACGGTTCGGCGCACGATGCCCGGAAGCCCGCACCTGATGGCTTAATGAGCGAATGCCGCTTTCCGTCGCTTGAAAATTCCAGCGTCGGCATGCTCAAAACAGACCCCTCAATAAAACGTGGAAACCGACCCAATAGCAACCCGATTTTTTGGTGCTTTGTACATCGAATCAGCTGCTATGACCGTCACAAATTCATGTCTTTATCTAGAAAGCACACAAAGGGAAGCTATGTGCAAGGGCAATTTCAGCTTGCTACTCGCTTGCAGATATGCCAGATGTCCACCGTTTCCCACGCGGAGTAGTTGGACAACCCCCACTCGCGAAATAGCCCCTCGGACTTCAGCTCGTGAACGGCCTGAAGCGTCCCCTCGATAGGCGTGTTGTGGTCAGGGGCGTGAAGGTAAAACAGTTCCACAGAAGGTACCCTGGTGTGTCCAGCATGGGGGCCGGCGGGGAGGACTATTTTTTACGGACGGGTTGGCAGGGGGGGGAAGGGGGAGCACGGGCTTTTCGCCAGCTGCGCACGCCACCTGCCGCTGTGGGCAATGTAGGCGACAAGGCCACCGAGTGCGGGGCGACGTGTTTTCTAGGGAAAAGTCAGGGGGTAGGGGGTAGCGCTGGCGAATGATATGGCAGGGCGGCGCGAACGATTGGCGGGATACGTCCACATTCAACAGCCACCAGGCGAAGACGCGTGTGCGTGCCGCCACCATTGTTCGCTTGCGCGCGCTACGATGCAATCTAGCCTGTCAGAAATTGTGCCAAGAAACATTTCTCTAGCAAGGTTTGACTTTGCACCAGGCGTTGATTCCTTTAAGCAAGCCTTGCGCTAGACACCACAGTCGCAGCTGCGGGAGTGGTTCATGCGACCGGTACGACAAGGGACGACCTCGACGGAAGCACGCACGAGGAAGACATGCACGCAGAAAAAAACGAACTGCCACGTCGTGCGAATCACCTCAGGACTTCGATGGACTTGCGAAGTTGCTCCTTGACGAGGTCGGGCCTGAGGCCATACGTCGGTGTGAAGAAGTCGTGGGACTCGTCGGTCTTGTACCACGGGTTGGCCTTCGCCCCGACGCGGAACTTTTCCACGCCGATCGCGCCTGCACAGACGGAGCAGTAAACGACGAACCACTTGTATTCTAGGCGAGAAAAGTGCCGCTGTTGGTGGAGTACCGGAAGAGTCGGAGAGTTTGTACGGGCCGGGGAGATAGCACCGGTCGGCGAGATGGCACCGGGGTGCCATAAAAAACCCGAGAATAAAACATTTAGTTCGATTACGGCGTCGGTGAGATCGCACCCGGTGCGATCTCTCCGACCTAAAAATCCAAGATTGAACTCCTTTTCAGCTGCCGAAATGAGGTACATGTGCGTACCTTTTACACGTGGGGACGGAGTCAGCGGAGCGCCACTCCTTTACGTACGATTGGATGGTCGAGGTTCACGCGGGATGCCAGTTTTTTTCATATTTTTATTGGTATGGAAGTTGCCAACCTTGCACACACTCGACCAAACACACAACCTACAAGCCGCACCCTACCTCACCTTACACAACCCGAAACTATTGTACTTCTGCGTACGTACTGGTCTCCGTAGAAGAAGACCGAGGCGATAGCGGGAAACAATTGATACCGTGTGTACTGGTGTAATGGTACCACCTCAGATGTGCTATTTCGCCGCTTTTTTCGGGGTATGTTGAATGTGTATTTCGCAGCCTTTTTTCCGGCTCAGATATTATGCGTGTGTGTGCAGAAGACCGTGTGCATGCATGAGTACCTACACTGGTACCAATACTATATGGCAACGGTCGGGGAGATGACACCGGGGTGCGTGCAACAACACCTGTGTGCATGTCATCGGGGATCGCACCGGTCGGAGAGATCGCACCGGGGTGCAACACCTGTTTGTATTTTTTTCGTCGGGGATCGCACCGGTCGGAGAGATCGAACCGGGGTTCCTTGAAAATTCTAAACGAAATGATTTGAATGCATTTCCGCACCGGGGTCGGAGAGATGGCACCGGGGTGCGATAAAAAACCCGAGGAAAAAACATTTAAAAAAACGATCGCACCCGGTGCCAACTCTCCGACTCTTATTGTATATCTCCGAAAGCCGGAACGCCGTCTGTGCGGGAAGGCGGCTACAGCAAACGAGAGTTCAACACATGTGCACGCCACACCAAATATGATTGGGGCGAATTCCGGTAGAGGCAATACTGAAATACAACTTGCGACCCTGGATCGTTCCGACCACCATCACCCCGGCCTTTCCTGCTCTCCCGTTGAGCACATTCGCATGCCACGCGCAGAAACTTAGCGGGGAGTTACACGAGGCTAGAATTCAAAGGTACCCTTGCTGGCAAGTGTCGCTCGTCAAGCACTGTATTACCGCAAGTCACCTCGGGAGCCCGCGGTACTACGCGGGCGGGAGCGCGGACGTACCTAACGTTGTCTCCGTCGCCCCATCCTGGTAAAGGATAGCGGTATCGATCTCGTCGAAACCGGCGGCGTGAAAGTACTCCAGAGCCTCGCGCGCCGCCGCCGTATCCAACGGTTCCGGGATAGACATCGTGCCAAGTACCGCTGGGATAGACGCGCTCTTCCCGCCGGCAGGAGTAGCAGCGGCGGGGGGGGCGCTTTGCTCGACGCCTGCGCCGAGAATTG